TGTGGTTTTGAGAAGGGTCAAACGTGGGGAACAGAGAACAACCGTGCCGCTTCGGAGGGTCTGTTGAAGAAGTGCGCGTACGTCGCGTTTCTCTGGCTCGCTCGGCTCCGGGAAGAGGGAAAATTCCTGTATCTTACAGAAACGGGGATCCCAGGAAACTTCTCTTAGGGACCGGTTATACAGAATTGGTTTGCTCTTGCATCTCCCCCTCTCGTTAAATAATCCTGCTCGGACCAAAGGGCCTGGGAAGGCTTTGGAAGCCTGATGTAGAACGGAAAACACACACTCTGCCACAAAACAAAGAAGCGGTATTTAATAAGCTATATTCATCCAGCGCTTACCCAGGCTTGAGGACTGACCTGGATTGACTGTAGTGAGTGCAATACATATTTTACGGCTTTTGGTCTCTTGGTCGGGACTGAAGTACAAGTTATTTTGTGTTTGCTCAAAGTCTCTTCCTTTCTGCTTGCGTTCAGCTGTACTGCACGCCCGCTGCTATTCTCATGGGTCACAAGAATCAGATGAAGAATTTGACGCTCGCTGGGTGACGTATTTCAACAAGCCAGATATCGATGCCTGGGAGCTCAGGAAAGGTATGTTGAAGGAACAGGGAAGAGTAACGCGGGGTACGTGTAACTCCTTTGTAATAGGTTTGTGACCAGAAATAACAACTTATTTTTACTTTGCTGTTGGAGAGCAAAAATAGTTCGGTTTCTAGAAGTGATACGGGCAAGAACCCGCTGTTCTTGCAAACCGTGAGAACTGGGAGCTTGGCGTGAGAGAGCGACCCTGTAACTACCCGGCGGGGGCGAGGCCCTGTGTGAGCCTTTCTGTATCTGTTCTGCATCGTCTGGCCGGCTCCGCCTGTGCCGGCGGTTGGCGTGCTGCTGTTTGCTCAGCTCTGAGCCCGTTGCAGCCGGTGGTGGCACCTCACCAACCAACCAAACGAGCAGGTTGGAAGGAACCACGGCATACAGAATGAGGGAGGGTGGGGGTACAAGGCGGCGGGCGCCCAGGCTTTCTGAATTTTAGTGCCCCAGAATACGTGTTTTCACACCTGGGTGGGAGGGAGAGAAACGTTTGCTCTGAGGAAGGTGTATTTCAGCTCAACTGTTGCTCGGCGTGTAACCGCACACATTTTTCTTTGGACTTTGACTTAATGGCCAGGCCGTAACTCACTGTAGACGGTCTGGTTGTCTCCAGTTGTTATTTGCTGTGGAGTTGCCAGCTCCTATTAAACTACCCCAATTAGGGCTTAAAACTGTGTTTGCATAACAGCCAGAGGGATCATTCCAGCATCACCTGGATGAGGAGGTGCTGGGCTCTTCCCTTGGAAAGGAGAGGAAGGGGACAGACAGCAGCTCGAGCTCGAGTTTCATTACAGCTGTAGGAATGAAGTCGTCTGGATTTCTTAATGATTCCGTAACTGATGTGCCGTGGTACAGACAATGGCTCCTTTTGGGAGCGTGGATGAAACTGGCCCACTGGGGTTTCATGAAATCCACTTAAAATCTACAGTACTGAGCAACAGCGAGAGGGAGAAGAGCGAAAGAAACCCCTTGGCTCTTGTGTCTGTCCCCAAAATAGCAGCGAAAACTGTGATCAGCTTCTAATGGCGACTGGCGTGGTGGTAATACTTAATTCTTTCATGAGGTGGAGCAAAATAATGCTCAGCAGGTTCCTTTTGATAGCAGGATGAGCTGATGCCAAGTTCCTCTTGGTGTTTCCTTATATTCACAGGCATAAACACGCTTGTGGGTTATGACCTGGTTCCGGAACCAAAAATCATCGACGCAGCTCTGAGGGCATGCAGACGGTTAAATGACTTTGCCAGTGCTGTCCGCATCTTAGAAGTTGTAAAGGTGAGTGGAACGGCAGCCTAGGGCGTAACTGCTGTCTTCGCGTTGCAGAGGGCCCAGCGGCAGAAGAGTTTTTCTTGGCTTACCGTTAGCGGTGCAAAGGGAAACCGCTATTTCCTGCTGCCAGAATCAATAGCTTCATTGTGAGCACGTGCTCGCTGGCTTGAAATAATTGTTTTGAGGTCAGAGTACTCAGCAGCACAGCCTCACAAGTATAACCTTCTTGCTTTCATATTTTCCTTTCCTGATGCTGACTCTGGTGGGAAAGTCTTTAAGGATTTTTCTTCCTTTTTTTTCTTTTTTTAATAAGCGTTCCTAGAAATTTCTCAAGCGAAGGCAGCTTACTGGCCGCTTAAAGTACCGAATACTGAGCTGGCTGGGAGGAGTAACTCGGGAAGCTGCACAAGCTTGAGAAACAACATAAACCAGCACCTTGAAACCCGAGTCCAGCCTTCACTCAACAGGGAGTTAAAAGGGGGTGGGAACGGAGGCAGGAGTTCTTCTATTTCAGCCGTAGGAGCAAGCAGCTGTGCTCTGCCAACTGTTTTTTTTGCCACAACCGAGGAGGACTAGCGTGGAGGTCTTTGCTGCTGGCTGTTAAATCCACTTGCTTCAAACCCTGCTCCGCAGTGGGCTGCCTCTCGGTTTGCCCTTTCTGCTTGCTGCATTCTTCTGTAGAACTGAAGCTCTTGCAGTGGTTTTAGAGACCTAAGACCAATGGAAGAATCTTCGTACGTTTTCCTTACCTCTTTGGTTTTTTCCCCGTCCTTTTGTCCCCACCATCTAGGGGACAATTCAGTTTATCCGAACCTGGGGACCGATTTCCAAGCAAGTCAACTTTTCTCCCGGGTCTGCCCAAAAGCTGATTTTATT